GGGGGGGGGGGCTTCAGGCACTGAAAGACAAGGGGAGCAGCAGCAGCATCATTTACATTGCGATTCCCACACGAATACCAGTGACACATCAGCCGCCGGTTGGGAATTTGCAGGCCACTTTGAACGTGACTTCCAGGCAGCCCCAGTGCCGTGGATTGGATGTACGGTAGAGTGGAGACGTGTCATCGGCATGCACACAATGCAGGCATTAGGCTCTCTGCTGCATGAAGCCCCAAGGTGCCCTCTCCGCCCACGAAGTATGAACATCACGCAAAATTCACTGGGTTTGTACGTCACGCGTTTGCCTCCGCATTGGAAATGCCTTGTGTGCCATCTGGGCACCGACGGTCGCCCTGATCTCGCACCCTCTCGTCATATCAGCGGGCCCGACACACACGCCAGCTTCAGAAATATGACCACTAGATGAGCGTCATTTACACCTGCCTGCTGTTACTCATCGTCCCGCAGTCAGGTGGCCCGTGCGAATTCACGTTCATGCACAGCACCGACGCAACGCGCTTGTTTCAAGTTGCCGGTTGCCGCGTACCCCTTTGCCTTCACAACAACCTATAGTTCTCAACAAGTTGCATAGAATAACACGCATCACCCAGGATTGGACGCACCACACTTTCTCGAGCAGCTCGCTCCAACACCACGGGGTCACCGTCAGTATAGATTTAGCTCAGTACTGAAGCCCACTTGATTCTTGCGTGACATCCGGGGCCTCGGAGGGCCGGCCGCGGCACAGGCGTCGGCCCGCCTGATTTGGCGAGCAGTCTTGCTGGCGTCCCATGCGCAACGATGTGGTCGTGCTTCACGGCTCGCGCATTGCCTAGTGATGGTGCGCAGTGCTGTGCCTTGCGGCAGGCGCGCCGCGGGTGTGTCGTATGTCAGCCTGAGAGCGCGTCGTGCCAACAGGGCGTGTGCTCAGATTGGCGCAGGCAGTGATGGTGGCAGAGTTAGGGTGCTTGCAATTTAGTCGCACCTGGTGCCGGCACTGGCATGTGCTTGCACCACGACGCACCGTGACGCACCAGTTCTCTTCAGACACCCGAGCGGTTTCGCCCGATGGCTTGGCCGTGCACCTCGCACGCTCCCTCGACCCCGCCTCGCCAAATCCGCTTTGCCTAAGCACTACCCCCTCTCATTATCTCATTCCAACCACCCTAGGCCCTTCAGCAGGCCTGCCGGACCTCGCGCCCTTCAAGGCCATCCGCCAGATCGGCCGCGGCGCTGTTGGCGAGGTCTTCCTTGCGCGCCATGCGGGCGACGGGCAGCTGTATGCGGTGAAGACCGTCCCCCTGGACGCGCCCAGCTGGCGGCTCGAGCTGCTGAAGCGCGAGGTGGGCCCTGGCTCATCCGCGACCGCGCGCGCCGCAGCGCAGTTCGCGGCGTGTGTGCGGTTCACAAACGCCTGGTCAGCGTTTCGTTCGGCAGTGCTCGCAGCTGCCTTGCCATTTGGCGCACCAAAACACTCTGCCGCCTGCCTCAGAATCGTTTCAAATGCTGAACTTGGCCCGCCTCGCCCCCTCAGGAGCGCACCTATGCGGCCCTCGCCAGCGACGCCGGCGGCCACGTCGGCCTGCTGCGCCCCTGCCGCATGCAGCTGCTGCACGACCGCCTCTGCCTCGTCACAGAGTGGGCGTCCGGCGGCACGCTCGCGTCCTTCCTGGCCGCCCCGCGGTACTCGCGCGGCGTCGCGGAAGACCTAGCGCTGTTTATAATGCGCCAGCTGGTCGCGGCCGTCGAGCGGCTGCACGAGAACCGCGTGGCGTACCGCGACATAAAGCTCGACAACATCCTGCTGGACACGACGACGTTTGGCGCCAAGGCGCCGCGCGTTCTGCTGGCGGACTTTGGGACGTGCAAGGCATGGGAGGAGGGCGAGGCGGGGTGCCTGGCCAGCACGTTCATGGGCACGCCAGGTGCGCGGGATGGGAATGCGGGCACTGGGCCTGAGCACCGCCGGGGCAGTCCTTTGTTTGTGATAAGACCTGCGGTTTTGATGCTTCATGTCACGCATCGACAAATGTTTACCGCCGCTTTGCAGAAAGTCCCCTGCACTGCTCTTACCTAGTCCACCCCCAACATGCCTGCCCCGTCTCGCAGGCTTCATGGCGCCGCAGGTGTTGGGCAGCATCTTCCTGCACCGTGAGAGCTCCGCCTCCGCCGCCCCTTCGGTGACCTCCGCCCTCGACGACTCGGCGCGCGAGAGCAGCTTCCCGACGCCCGGCTCGTCGGCGCACTCGGCGCCGGCCGCGGTCGGCGCGGGCCTGGCGAGCGGGAGCGCGGGCCCCATGGGCGTCAGCAGCTCAAACGGCATGTATGATGCCGTGAAGGCCGACATCTACAGCCTGGGCGCCATCCTGATGTTCCTGCTATTCAAGGAGGTGCGCAGCCCGGGTGCTGGGCTCTTGCATGGGCCGTTTGCATGCGGCCTGCGCCCTTGCGGCCCACGTCCGAGGTCGGACACGGGAGCTTGGGTGCTGATTGCGCTCAAAATTGCACGGAGGCAACAACACTGTGTGGTGAATATTACCGAGATGGCCGCCGCAACCTGACCACAACTCCTTTTTTCACAACTCAGCGTGCGCTCTGCCGTCCCCCGCCGCCCCCGCAGCTACCCTTTGGCTTTGACAAGTTCAGCCGCCTGCTGCCGCCCGGCGAGGCGCTGTCCGTGCTCTGGCAGCTGGAGAGCGAGAAGTCGTGGCGCGAGGCCGCGGGCGCGGGGCTGCTGCGGCGCAGCTGCGACCCAGGGGCGATCGACCTGCTCGACCGCATGCTGCAGGCCGACGAGTCACGGCGCGTCGACGTCGCCGGCATCAAGGCGCACCCCTGGTTCTCACGGCGGCTGCCGCGGCGCTACGAGGCCGCGCTCGCGCGGCTGGCGCGAGACCAGGCCGGGCTGGACGCTGCGCGGAGCGAGCTGCACGGCCGTGCCTCGCGGCGCCGCATCGTGGCGCCCGCCGCGCACGCGCACGGGCCTGCGGCGCCGCCGCCGGCGCGGCCGCTGAGCGGTGCTGAGGCCGCGCTAGAGCAGCTGTTTGAGGCGGCCGGGTCGCAGGCGGCGCTGCGGCGGCTGCGCGAGGCGCGGGCATCCCTCTATGTCGACCTGGAGCCGGCCGCGGTCGCGGCCGCGTGGGAGCTCGGGATGCAGACGGAGGGCACGCGCCCGGGCGCGCCGCCGCCCGGGTCGGCCAGCTGCGGCTGCGCCGGCGGCGGCGTTGCGGCAGGCGTCGCGGAGGACACGCCGGAGTCGGCCGCGGTCGTGGCGCCCCCGTCGCTGGCGGGGCGCAGCGACAGCGCGACGACGACGGCGGGCGCAGAGCCTGCGTTCTTGTGCGACGTGGCGCTGGGCGCACCCAAGAGCGCGCCACGCCCGTCTCGGCTGCGGCCGCAGGCCTGAGTCGCGCTGCGCGGCATCTTCCGTCCCGCTGCTGACGGATTTGGCTCGTTTCGCACACCTCGAACCCCTGACCCGTTCGCTCTGAGAGGCCCCTTTGCCCCTTTCGCCGTCCCACTCCCGCTTTCGATGCCTGAATCATCGACCGCGGCCGACTGACAAGTTGCCTTGCTTTGCACACGCCTGTGCCTGGTGCCATGATTGGGGACCGGCCCTTTCCCCCGCCATTGACATGGCGGGGCCGTGGGCCGCCCACCCAGCAGCACGTCGCTCTGTGGCCAGGGGTGCAGCGAACCGCGCCCAGCATCGGGGCGCCCTTCTCCTGCTGATTCGCGCACTCCAAGGGACCACGCGCTCGGCTCGCGCTGACGAGGCGCCTGAAACGGCGCCCGGGGGCTCGGCGGCCTGCGAGAGAGGGCGGTCGCATGTGCCTCCCCCTGACCTCGCGCATGGCGTCCCTGCCACCTGCTCACCTGGGCTCGGTCTTTCTGTACGCGGCGCCTCGCCCGCCGCTTTCGCTGTTGTCCGCGGCCGTTTGGGCCCGTGGCTGCGCGCTGTGTGTTGCCAGGGCGCTCCCGCCCCGCTCATGCCGCCGCCGTGGAGGTGCGGTGACGGGGCGGGAGCGCCCTCGCCGCAAGCGCCGCCTTTCCCCCATGCGCAGCGCACCCCACTTTGTGGCTGACCAAGCCGCGATTTCGCTCCGCCACGCGCACGCGCTGCTTGCTGCGCTCAACCGACGAGGCTCAACCGCGACATTGAGCACGTTGTGTGGCTCACCCACAGGTGCTGCTCACGCACGACCGCCCGCCCCCCGCCTGCTTTGTGGCAGGGGGACCCACCAGGACAAAGCCCCTTCAATTGTGGGCAGGGCCCCGGGTATCAACGCTCGGCTTGCTCATGCACCTACACCGCCACTCCGCCACTCTGCCCCACTGCGGCCCGCCGCCGTCTGGGAGTACAGCCTGCTGCCGGCCGTGCCGCTGGGTGCCTGTCACTTCCTCCCCCCTTGATCAGCTGGCAACGACCCCTGCCCGCACCGGCGAGCCACGCTTGCCTCGCGACAGGGCGAGCCGCCACCGCCAGAGAGAGATGGACTGTGTGCACTGCCGGCCCCTGGGTTGAATTTGCGAAAACAGGGTTATCGCCTGCACTCGCCCCGCCATCCTTACCCCTACCCCTCGCTGTCTGGCCCAACCATGACGTGCTGGCTGCCTAGCGGCCTGTGCTGACGGGCGAGCATAGGGAGGCCCCAGGGGTCCCAAGGCAGGGGGCGAACCAAGTGGGACCGGGGGATGCGCAGCCCCTGGCCGGCGGTGTTTTGCACGTCGGCGCGCAACCGCACACGAGCGCGCGTGGGCGCTGCGCACATCCCGTCGGGGGGTTGGCGGCGGCGCCGGCTACTGAAACGCGACGCCGTGTCCCTTTGCAGTCGTCGCCTCCCAGCAGACGTTGCTTGTCCTGCTATGCACCTTGCTTCTTGTGTACCTTCGCTTTCCCCGCCCTTTTCGTCTGCTTTGGAAGCCGACAGCAGACGCGGCAGCTGCACGAGCAAACTGTGAACACCATCCGCACTGACGGACACTTTTTGTAGATCCTTATCTCGAGCGCGCTTGGGGCCCTGAACGCACGGCACACACCCGCATGCACGCGCGTCAGCAGGCCTGCGTGCATGCGGGTGCGTTGCCTCGCACCCCTCTGACGGGCCCCTGTGCGCGACGGGTGCACCCCGAACGGCCTTCCACAAATGCACCTGGGCTGGCGCGCGCACAATGCGCGCGGCGGCCTTGGCACATGCGGGCAGGCCTGCTATGACGGGCACACCCTTGCGGCAAAAACGGTGTACCTTTGACGGACGCCCAACGGCCGCTGCCAGAACTCCTCCCCTTTGCTGCACCTTTGCAAAAGCCCGACGAGACCCCCGCTCTTGAGCTGCGCATGCGGCGAGCGTCATGACTCGGAGCTTTGCCATTCGCTGTGGTCTTGGTCTTTGAGACGGCCGGTGTGCGACTATTATACCGCCCTCTCTTGTGGAGGGAGGCTTCGTGACTCGCAAGCCTGCCGCTCGGCAGCCACCATGCGTGTAAAAGACACCTGGATGTCGGGTGGAAAATGTAGGGGATGGCCAGGATGCCCACGCCACAATACCGTATGGTGGGATGTGGGATGTGATGCAGAAGAGCAGACAGGTATGGCAGGGCAGGAAGGGGCTGGCCACATACGAAGTCCGTCGCATTTGATGGGTTTAAGGCGGGCGTTCAGGATGATGCTCCTTGTCGGGTGCCCGGGGAAAGCAACCAGCACCAGCATGCTGCAATGCCTCCGCCAAGACGACCACGGCTGTGCCGCTCTGCGCTCGTTGCGTCTGAGACGGACTTGCCCTACTAGTGATGAAATACCATGGATGTCGGCGGCCAATCTGATTGCTGGGGCTGCACACATTTGGGTTCGAGTTTGAGTCAGGTTGGCAGTTGACCTGCCGTCGTGCCGTGCCGCCCTGATTGGCATGCCTGACGTGTCCCGCCACCGCAGGCTCAACACTGCAATCAACAAATATGTTGCGCAAAGCCTGAACACAACGCGTGTATTGAGACTGTCCCAATCCCAACAACATCGGGGGAAGCGCAACGAGCCACTGCAACACGCTCATCTGAGCGATCGCTTATATTTACGCCGCACCATCGCTGCCTATGGCTATTGATCGGCCGACGGCCACGGAGTGACCCAACACCACACCCGTGCAGTGTCAGCGGCCAGGAGCGGTCCCATCTAGGGGCCGCACGGCTGCAATGAGCGGGATGATGCCGCAGCCACTGGTAGCGCTGCCGGCGGAGCTTGCGGCCGTGCCGGCTGAGACGCTGCAGGTGCGGCGCGCCAAGCGCAGGCGCGGCGCCTCTAGTGGGGTCGCAACGAACGCCGCGCGGCAAGCAAGGACGGCATGTGCATTCCGCCAGCAGAAAACCAATGCCATCTGCGCTTGCGCAGCAGGGCGACGCGCAGCCCGGCTTGTACGGCACCATCCCGGACCTGCTCCTTGTGCAACTGCTGCGAAGCGCGCGCATCCATCTGCGCAACGCCGGACTGCCGCCGCGCCGCCGCCGGCACACAGATTGCAGCACACCCAACTCCGCCGCGCAGGGCTTCTTATTCAACTACACGAATGCGGCCCTATCCGAGCTAGGCGTGCCCGCGGCGGCAATCCCTGCCGGCAGGATCGCCGCCGCCGTGACAGCTGTGTGCTCCCGGATGATCGGCCTCGGCGCGCCTGCGCCGCGGGCCGGGGCCTCGCCGGCCGTGGCGGCAGCAGCGCAGCAGCTGCTGGCGACACGCGGCGGCGGGGCGCCGGCAACGCCGGTGGATGCGCGGCTGGAGTGGAAGCACTCGTGCCTGTGAGTGGCCTTGCGTGATGCCAGCCATTGCTGATTGTTTTTACCTGACAACCTTGCTCGCCATGTTTGGTGATGGCGTCAAGAGCAGCGTGTGTTGCAGGAACGCCAGACAATTCACACTCCAGCATGGCACAGCGCGCGCCTGCCCGCGCCCCATACCCAACACCCACTTGTACGGCGTCAACCACACCAGCCACTGGGGCTGCAACCTGGAGGACTGCCAGCTGTGCAAAAACAACGCGCTCAAGGTGAGGCTGGGAGGCAACTGCCGGGCCGACTCGGGGCGATGAGTGGGGCGGCGGTTGATGCTTCCACAAGATTGTGCGGGAACTCCGCGGCTGCGCTGCCACTTCTGATGAAGCATGAGCAGGAGCTCCTTCCCACCCTCTCCCTGCCTGCTCCACTGCGTTTGCGTGGGGCCTCCCTTGAGAGCCCAGCAACCACCTTGTTGCCTCACGCTCACAGCACCCAGTTTTGCAATTGTGCAGGTGTGCGACGAAGCGTCGGTGTTTGACGGACAGTACTGGGTGCGCGACGACGGCAAGGGGGGGCAGGTGGTGCGCGCCAAGTGCGGCGCAGACGTGTTCGTCCAGGTGAGCGCTGGACCGCCGCCGCGGCCCGGCCGTCGGGCTGTTCCTGAGAGTGACTGGTGATCGTGGGTCTGCTGGACCGTTTGCCGGGCAGTTGGGAGTGGAGTCCAAGGGCGGTCCGAGGGCGTGCGGCGGCCTGATGGCTGTTGAGAGGTGTTTTCAGCCCAGTGCGCCAGCCATCAGGTCCGGCAAGCCCTAGAGATGAATCGCAGCGCCCACACGCACACATGCACACGCACCCGTGTGCGCGCACACACACACACGTACACACATACACACATACACACATACACAATTACACACAAAACCTTCTCATCTGTCGCCATGCTCAGGCTGTGGACCGAGCGAGCAACACGGCCGTGTATGTGCCCGACGTCAAAATCAAGGTAATTTCAACTGATTTGATGCATGACCTGACACATGATCTGATGTATCATCTGATGCATGATCTGATGCCACTTGGCACAACACACTGTTCAAGATGCATCCAGAACAATTTTTCTGTCATCTTATCCGGGCCAATCGTCAAGCGGCAATCCCCTGGTCAAAGCGCCTCCAAGTGCATTCCTCCCCTGCCTGGTAGAAAAAACCCTGGAATTCAAACGCCCGCCCCGACAGCTCTACGTCATCAGCGGCACCGCCGCCGTCCCCAGCATGTACGAGGACCCCGCGGCCCTCTTCCTGGACGACGAGGGCAACCCCCTGGTCAGCGTCTCGGGGGCCACGCCAGAGGCGGATGGCGGCATACCCCTGGACGCCACACAGGTGGGCGCCGGGGACGTGTGTGGGCGCGCGCGCATCTGGACACACACACACACACACATGCGTAGAAGAACAAAGCATAACCGATGAGGAATCAAGTAAATCGGAGGTATCAATTAATTATTGGGCGCGTGTGTGTGTGTGTGTGTGTGTGTGTGTGTGTGTGTGTGTGTGCTTGTGTCCAGGGGGTTTTGCTGGTGTCTGAGTGGCCAGCGGCAGAACCCGCTAATGGACAGGGTAGGAGTCTCAAGGGGCCAGCCTGACTTCAGGCGCCCAGCGCGCACTCCTCTGCATGTATCTGGATTTGTATGAGTGATGTTTATGTGCCCCTCTGGACGCGTCTCATGCAGTGGCTCTTCAGCACGCCAGGCTGCCATGCATGCATGGACACATGCCCGCATCCCCCCCCACACACACACACCCCACACAACCACACACACTCGCCCTGCGTAGAGGTCCTGTCTCAGTCTCTGATCAACCCTGCCTGCTAGACCCGCAAAGGGGCACTTTGGAATCTCTACATATCTCACACCAACCCACTCATTGCGCTCTCACCGCCCCCAGGACGAGCGGCTGGGCCCGGTGGCGCGCATCCCAGAGATCCAGTTTCTCAACAAGAACTCAAAGTTCAAGGTCGACGGCCGGTGAGCGTCACCTCTTCTCCCCGGCCCCTCAAGGCACACGGCTGCTGCCTCCTGCTTGTCATCCGCCATGGTAGCAACGCTTTCCTCACGTGTTCAGGCGCCTGGCATGCGGCTCGCCTTGCGTGGCTGTTTTCATCTGCCAAGCTCCCCAGTCATCAGCTCTCCCCAACGCCGCCTCGCCGACCGTTTCAAGCCACTCTGCCGCGCTCACCCCAACCCCCATCTCCCGTGCACCCCATGATTACGCTCCGCTGCTCGACCCCTCCGGATGCCCGGCCCCCAAAGGACGTTCAAGGCGTTCCGTCTGCTGGCCAGGGCCGTGCGCCGCGACCCCTCGTCCGGCATCGACCTGCCGCTGACTCAGCTGGAGAGCGAGCCCTTCAAGGTGCGGTTGATGACCCTCTGTGTAGCTGGTTGCGGGAGGTTTGTGTTGTGTTGGTAGCTCACCCTCCCCCTGCTTTCTGGTTTGTCAGCTGGGGCCACAGCTTCCAAGGGAGCAGGATGTTTGCAAGCACGCACCTGTCTTTGTGCACACACACACACACACACACACACACACACATATACACACAATCACTCGCTCTCCCAATCTTAAGGTGACCACCAAGAAGGGCTATGACGGCTGCCGCAAGGCCGAGTACCTGTACGCAAAAGAGGTGCGCCTCGGACGCCCCTGCCCCCAGGCCCGAAAACCCCCGAGGGGCGATGCTCGCCTCCCATCCGCCAACCACCACCCTGCTCGCGGCGCGGTCACGCCCCCCTTGGCTTGCTGCCTGTCAAGCCGCCCTCATTATCACAAAATTTGGCTGCCCCCCCCTGGGCCCAAGTCATCACACAGACCCTGTGCGTGTATCAACCCGCAGCCCACCCCCGTCTCTTTGTGTGATCGGGCGCCTCAACCCCCACCACAAGGTGATGACCGACAAGACTTTCGCCAGCCTCGGAGAGACCACCATCAACAACCTCAAGCTCACCTTCGACGGCTGCGAGACGGGTGCGGCTTCCTGGCGCTGCGCCCGCGCCTGGTGCCGCAGCCGATCGTGCGGTCGTTGCGGCTCGTCCGCTTGCCTGCTTGCGCATTTTGTGTCCGGCCTTGATCCCCATCCTCGCACTTTCAGGCGTCCTAACTTCATCAGTTCCACTCATCTCCCACGAATTTGGTTGAGGTAACCCCCTCCTCCCCACACACACCACCACCACCACTACCTGTGACACCCCACCAACCACCCTGACCCCGCCCCACATGCCTCCCCCCTCACCCACCCAACCCCCAACCCCTTTCAGTTGAGGATCTTCTTGGCCTGGTGAAGCGGGCCGAGGAGGACCCCAAGGTGGAGGGGGCCCTGAGGGACGTGCTCAACATGAGCCGCGACGCAGCCAAGTGGAAGAACCTCACGCGCATACTGCAGGACAAGGTGGGGCGCCTCTGTGGGGCAGCGCCTTGGGGGGTCGCCTTTGTGGGGTTCGGCAGGTTGATGCAGGGTGGGGGGTCTTGGGGTGGGGGTTGCTGCTCCATTCGTCCTGGAGGGCTGCTGCTGAGGGTGTTTGGCGGAGAGGGGTGATTTTGAACCCCTGCATGCGATTCGCGTGATTACGATGCAGCTTGCTTGACTCGAGTCGTAGTTGGTGAGTACCTGGTTAGTTGCCGCTTTCAAAACTGGAACGCCTCTGCAAAAGTGGTGACCCACACAGATGCTTGTCGGTGCAAGCCAGTGTGCGCGTGTGGTCTAACCACACCTGCGACCTTCGACCTCCAGCCGCGTTGGTCCCATGCAACCCACTGACCCCCCCCCCAACGCACATCGCTGCTCCACGCATGTTGCTGTGCTCTGGCCCACCGCCGCCGCCGCAGGTGGTGTGGGACGACAGCTCCCCGCGGCTGTGGCTGCTGCCCAGCGCGGCGCCGCCGCTGGGGCTGCTGTTCCGCGCCCATAAGGGCCAGGCCGAGTTTGGCGCCCCCTGGGGTGAGGGACTGCCTGCGAGTTGCACGCGTGAGCTGTCAGCCGCTCGCAGCCGGCTGCCCTCCCTTCTCTCTATCTCTCTGCGCATGGCGCCCTGCTGTACCC